AAACACAGGCTATAGGTCTCTGTAGAAAGTGAAAGCCCCTTGCGTTCAGCTATATCTTAGATGGCGTCGTCATCAAGCGAGTGTGTGTTGCTCGTGATCCTGCAGTCTATATAGATAAGGCATTGAATTTTAGTCATCTCGTGTCGGTCACATGCAACGCATCACTTAGAACATTTGAAGCCATTTCACGTTTCACAAGACAATTTTCTTCCTATGCATGTAGTGTTCGTTTATTTTGTTGTTTAATTCGCTCATAACTCGAGTATGCATCTATAGTGTGGAATTGTATAAATGATACAGCATCTTGCTCTATCGAGCGTGTACAGCAGCGTTTTATTCACATTGTTTTTGATCGTTTTTTTGGACGTAAGTTTTACTATAATCACGATCGGGCTGCTCAAGAGACTTGGTTTATGTACTCTGTTTGACAGACGGCGTTGTCGGGATATCCTGTTTCTACACAAACTTGTCAATGGGCTTGTAGATTCTCCTGTCTTGTTAAGCGCTGTATGTTTCCACGCCCCACCACGTTCAAGCCGTAATCGCAACTTTTTCTATCCATCCACGTTTTTTCACACGTCTCCCCTAATACGAATACAGCATGATTTTAATAAGTTGCATTGTTTGCTCCTAGAAATATTCAGTGACAAGTCAACTTTTGGGCGTAATCTAGAGAATATATTGTTTGCATGATCCCAGTGTTTTGCAATTTTTTTTTCTGGGGGGGGGGGGGGGGGGGGGGAAGGGGGTTGCTTCATTTGTATTTTTAGTGCCTCTTCTTCTTTTACCTTATCTTGCTTGTCAGATGTCGCTCTGCGTTCTATGTTTGTTTTGATAGTTATTTTTGGGATACCTATGTTTTCTCTGTGCTTATACTTTTTATCTTGTCAGCATTTGCTGTGTACCACACAAAAGGTTCTGTGCTGTTTGTATACACATAAAAAAATACTATTATTATAGAATATAGGACAATAGTTTTTACCCTGTTTTTATCGTCACCTCTGTATATGACTGAAACTTTAGCAAATTTTATACTTTCGGGAAATATCCTGGAAGAAAATGATAAGTCGTACATATGCGCTAGGCATGGTGCAATAACGTTGATTACAACTTTAACTGGTTGTATTTCTAGCTTCTCAATATCAATACTCTTGCTATTTCTGAGACCTAAGAATGCATCTATTCAAGACTTCTTTCTCGTCGGTGGGGTTCAGGAAAAACGTGTTATCAACTTGCCTGACGTAACGAATGTCACTGACGTCGTAGGCAGAAATCTGTGTATTTGTAAAGTGGGCGTTAAAACAATCTGCCGGGCTCTCTCCCGACATAGTTCGACCTTTTAGGGTTAATTATCCTAACAAAAGATACATCATTTCGCTTCAGAACTTTCTTTATAAATTTTCGAACTCAGTGCGCTGTTTTGTGGCATCATGTAACTTTTGCTTATAGTACGACGATTTCACTTTTCTTAGTTTTGACGTTAATTCGTTCCTAAGCTTCTTAAAACACAACAATTTGTCCTCATTCCTTAAAGTCACAAACTCCTTATATAGGCGACTTTCGTTCGCATAATTTTTATAATAAGAGGGGTTACCCACGGTTTCCGTAACTTCCTGTTTACAGTTACTGTTATGAACGGGACATGTAAGTCATAAAGTGCTTTTAGAATGTGTAAGAATTCGTTATAATATTTATCCCAACCTATCTTAGAGTAAATGGGTTTCCAGTCACAGTTTAAGGCCGCGTCCCTAAATGCTAGAAGGCAATCATCCGACATTTTCCGAAAGGTGGCGGTAGCCGTCACACTTTCTTTCTTCGTTTCGTGATTATATAAGAAAACAAATTAGAATATGATCGCTCATAACGCTGCTAATGGTTCCCTAGAATTTGACTTTGGTAAAAGTATTGGTGTTAAAAAGATAAATTGCATTTGATGAGGATAATGTGACTCTAGTCGCGAATGTGATAACGTTTTCAAAGCCCGTAGCGTTTAGCGTATTAGAGAGAATTCTTTCTTGAATGGAATCCTCTAATATATTTAGATTAAAATCGCCCCCAATAGACCAAGCGATAGTTATATACAAAAACATAATCCAAGAATTCTTCAAGAAAAGAAATAAAAGTTCAAAAATCTGCCAAGAGTGGATGGCAGAAAACAGTAGCCTATTATTGGTTATAACTGAGTTATATTGACCCTATCTTAAAATTTGAAACGTTGATTTCATATTGGAATGTGTGCACGACGTGACCAATGAAGCCTTCGACTTGTTGCATGCAAACTAATTCCTCAACTACACTGTAGACCTTTCCAGCTCTTATCACCCTGGTGGAAAATGCTGAGTCAGCGGGCTGCGTACGCAAACATGGTGTCTCATAGTTCGTAGAAAACAGGTACTGCGGATGCTCAGAACGGCTTCTACAGCCCAGCAGGCAAAGAGGGCAGCGCAGAGAAAGTGATTTTTGGAAAGGTTATAGTCAGCAATAGCTAAAGAAAGACAGGGTATGGTTTATGATGTTCACACTTCTTGCTTCGGGATTGGTTGTTGGGATTCTTTTCGGCTAACGCTGCTATTTCATTGGCTGTGGAGAGACAATGAGGCGTTCGGGACTCGCCACACTCTGCCTTTCTTCTTTTTGCAGTGACTATAACTCCGGCCAGTCGAATTCTGTTCATTCTTTTTTTACTTCTGCAATTCTGTAACCGCCTTTAACTTTATTTCTCAAAGCTAGGATTTTGTGATTAAGTCACCACACGAAGTATTTGCTAACATTTCGTCTGGAAGGTCACTGCTCTGCAGAACGGTATCCATATAAGAGACCTGATCGAGAGAACTGCTATTCAAAGTTTTCCACAAACGGCACCGGTCTGTCGACTCGCCAAAAAACCAAGTCAAGGAGATGTGAAAATACAAAAGGATCGCCATTGGCATTGGCCAATATTGAGAATATACGTTGACGCAGTCGACAAGTTGAGGCCGACAAATCGACGTAGGTATTGTTCCTTTTCTTCGAGAAAACTAAAATAAGATAGACACTCTACTGTAGTAACTCGGAAGTTCATATTTCATCACCCGAAACGTCAGCAGATATTTCACCGGGAAGAATACATTTATTTTGCTCATTTGCATTAGACAGCGCAGTTACAACGCTAAATCCTCCCCTGGCAGTGTAGGGGCTCCACGTCCTTGAGAACGCATGCGCGTCGCGCTGTTCTTGCTGTCGCGCTCTCTCGCGGCACCGGGGGAGAGGGCTGCTGCCGGGGCACCAAGATGCCGATTTCGCCAAAGCAGTAGAGACGGTTGCCCTCCGCTGCCACGATGACAGATGGTGGCCGCAACCCTTTCCGATTAAAAAAAAAAAGAAAACCGGGTGGCTGCGCGAATCCAACCATTCTAACGACGCAGAGCCTGGCGACGTCAAGGCCATTGGGCTTTCTCGGAGTAAGCTGCATACCAGTCTTGGGTAAAGCGAATAAAAGAGTACTTGAGGTGAAGTACAAAGTAAATAAGAGGTTATATTCTTCAAGTAAAGAGCTAAGTACCGTGGGTGCAATCTACTCAGAGGAAAGTACTTGTACTTTTTAATACAATTTTTGACGATGCCCTCTCATTCGCCTATATATATATATATATATATATATATATATATATATATATATATATATATATATATATATATATATATATATATATATATATATATAATTTTTTTAACTTGTAGGGAACCTAGGGTGCATCAGCTATTTTCGTGATTGGTGGCGAATATTGGATACAGTTAAGTGGTCCCAGAACAGTTGTTTTGCTCTCGCGTACGTACTATTTAACAAAATGAACTTATAGGACACTTATTTTGTATCGGTCTTATAGCCGCTAATATTTCACTCGTAGATATAACCAGACGAGCGATGTGTCGTCTGCTTGCATTTTTGGTGAGAGAAGAATATTCCTGCGAGTGATTTTTAAGAGAAGAGTTGACAAGGTATCAATATGGGATACAAATTTAACAAGGCCGAATTTGGGGGAATGTACTTTGAAGTCGGGAATTGTACATTCCTTGGAAAGTACCATAAAAAAAAAAAGCTTTAAGCACTGAGGTACAAGTATGCATACTCAGAGAATGTGCTTCAACTAATTTACAAGTTTTATAAACCTACTTAAGGTAGTACTTTAATTACAATGTACTTAAAGGGACACCGACATCCCCAAACATTTTTTTGTTTTAATTTTTTGCCAGGCGATTCATTACGGTGTTCAGAGGACTATCCAATCATTATTTTGCTACAGGGTCACGTATATTTTTAATAAAGTAAAAAAAAAACACAACTGCTTGAAACGGAAACTGAAACTGAACTGGAACAAAGGAAAAATATAGAAAGAAGAGAACTGGCTGAAGTCACGTGGCGGTGCAACATTCTTTTCCTTCCATCAACGTATTTGCGGCTTTTAGAAGCCACAAAAAGTGAGCACCATATTTTTTTACTATTTTTAATATTGAGCGTGTGTCTTCGACGACCCACTACTTTGATTATATTTGGTGGTTGTGTCTATACCATAGAAAACGGTACGCGTCAACGGAGAAGAGAGTGAGCGCAACTCAAACCGGCCAGTTCTCGATGGGCGGTTTTCGGGCGGAAAGAAACCGAATTTCGAGCCGCAAATTGTGTTCTGGGTAGTTGGGCTCTCATATGTCATGTACAAATAAAAACCTAGGCGAGCATAAATAGCTATTCAGTGTCTTTTAAACGTCCTTCTTAACAGTATTGTATTACATAGCAAAGCGTTTCAGAAAAAGTAACACCGGAGAGGGAGCAGGACCAGTGAACGAAACCACCAATGATGGCAAGCAGAGAGTTTTGTATGAGGTACTTGTTCTGCTTTTCTTAACTTGCAGTAGTCTAAAGTAACCCTACTGTAATCTTTCGAATGTAACTAAGATACAATCACTTAAAATGTCCGCTTTTGGTATAAGCTATAATAAAGAAGTTTCCAAACCATCACCCGTTTTGTTTCGCTCCCTCTTTCTTTAAAACAAATACTTAAAAAATCGATGAGAATCTGTGGCTTTCTCGAGCACGCGAGCCTTTGCTTCTTCGAGCTTCGGTTTTCTTATCCAGTCCCGAATGTATCTCTTCTCGAGGCTCCTCGCTGCCTTGACGGCCAATGGTTCTTCCCGGCTGGAAAATCTGAGATCGTAGTGATGAGCGGCACCAGGAATTACGATGGCCACGACGGTGTCCGAGATCGATTCCATGAGACCAACCCCGGCCCAGGGATCCGCATCTCCGTTGCTAAAATAATAGGATACGCTGTAAAGAAGACCTTTGTACGAAACACAATGCAAGACTGTACTGATTTCGGTCTACAACCTCATGCGCAATAAAAAGGTGACTGAAACATCTTTTCAGTGTTTAACAAAACATATTCCCCCCTCGCTTTCCATAAGCATTATTAGAAAAATGTAAAACAAAACACGGGTTAAATGTGCACGAGAATTAACGTAGAAGTTTGTTCTAGTTGGTATGCAGACATAATTGAAAAACAAAACAGCGCAATGACGGGGGCAAAGTAAAGGGTGCCCTGTCGGTTACCATTTACTTTGTCCTCCTCTTTGCGTCGTTTTGTTTTTAATTATGTAGATGAGGAAGGCGGAATAAAGAAAGAATGTCTCTCTATATATGTTTCTAAAGTAAACGTCGATAAGAATATTTCATTGTCTCTTAAAAATCATACAAATGTGTTAGTGGATTATTTGCACAATGGCATATGTTCTGTTTATTTATTTTCTCAGTTACAATATTTCGGAGCCAAGTATTGAAATAAGAGATATTTACTATGTTGGTTAGTACACTCCTAGACAAAACAAGGCGGTCAGATTCTGCAGTTTCTTTACGTTAAAAACTACGTTAACAAATGCTGCGTTTGCCACGAGAAGTGGAAAAAGGCTTGTAGCTGTGTTTTTGAGGTGCTTATAAATCGGCGGAACAGCCAAACAAACTGTATTTTAGTGCATCTGTAGGACAGGTGTATGCAATACGCCTCCATGGTCGGTGACAGGTTAAGACTTCATGGGAAGCTCCTCCCTGTTATTTCCACTTTAGCAGAGCGAATGGCGGAGCGAAGGTCTCCTACATTCCAGCGTCCGCTCCCCTAAAGTAGAAAAATGTGCGAAATGTTTCCCTGAACTTCTAACCTGGCACCGGCTACTGGTTAAAAGAAACTTCAGATTGAACAAATATCGCCAGTACCTGAAGATGATATTGGACGCAGATTCCATGTTCCTGCCACCGTACGTCATCACGGCCTTGTAGAGGTCAGGTGTGACATTGAATCTCTGCTGACAATCTTGAATCGTTTCCGTAACGTTCCAGATGAGCGGATAGAACATGTCGGTGAGCCCGTCGCTGCACGTGGGCATCACGAGTTCTGTGCAGCCCTTTGAAAACACACAAGGCGGACATTGTTCATTAGCGTTCGACGACCCAAGTAGCGCAGCTCTTTCAGCCAATATTTATTTTTTGTATGAACATTTAGGGGTTTAAAAGATCACAAAAAGTCAAGGTATTACTTTATATTATTTGGACAGAGTATGGGTAGATTGTCCCTAAATTGCAAAACGAGTTCCGGAGTTCGGCTGCACTGCCTTGTTGTTCGGTTGTCGCCTAGCTTCCTCGGGAATGCCCAAATTAGACCTCATTTTTTATTGTTTCGTTTTCAAATGCTCAATTTTTCCCGATTTTCAAACAATTGCCAGAGTTACACTTTACTTCTGGTTGTTCTGTTGGTACGTGTCATCTTTGGCTCATATATGGAACATTAGAAATTATATGACGAACCAGAAAAAAGCCATACAAAAACCAAAGTGTAAGAATAAAAAAAAAAAAAAGCGACATGTAGGAAGAAGACCGGAAAAAAGACACAACTATATTTCGCTATAGCCGCGCTCCAATTTGTCAAAGAAAAGTACTTCGAGACTAACTAACGCCTTGAAGCAAGTCTTTCCTAGGCCACCTCGACTTACCAAACATGAACCAAAGTTAGCTGCTAATCTGGCGTACTGCCTTGAAATGTACTGGAGGTATCTGTCAGCGCCCGAATCGTTCACGATCAACTTTCCTATTTTCCGTACGCACGTATAGGCACGGGGTAAATTCAAATTATGCTGGCAGAGTTGTAAAAATAATTCAAGCCTCATGATATGCTTCCACTTTCTCTCCTTAAAAAAACAAGATATTATCGGAATTTGACCTCGAACAGAAAGGGCAGGAGTACGAGGTAAATCCTTTGTTTAACCAAATGTTATAAAATGTCACGTGTATTCTTTTTACGTTATCTTTACTTTATTAGACCTTGATATTTTAACACCCTTCCCAAAAATGCTTCGATGACCAGTGGCATATGTGCAGGCTGCAGCCCTGTTTCCTGCTGTGATTTTGAGCGATTTTACTCTCCTTATAAGCTGCGGTGTATACCCTTAGGACTTAATAGAGTGCGAAACTATGCAAATAGTTCACAGTGGCAGCTGCACTACTAGTAAAACAAAATGGAAACAATATTTTTGGTGCAGTTTAAAGAAGCAGTGAAACACACGCATCAAATGTAAAACAAAAGCATTCTCGTCGCATTGTATTATTCCTAGCTTGTGTTTGCTGCTGCTTAAACCTGCAACAACGTAAATATAAACTGAGCTGCTATTTCATTGTGCGTTATCTGAAACGTTTCGGGCAATGTACTTTTTTCAAAAGCACGTGCCATCTAGAACCTGCTGCGTCAGTTATCGGAGGCCGCCATTGTTTGAGCATGCAGTCCGAGCATGTATTTGTCACGAGGACATTGTCACGTTCGGCGTGTACTCGGTTCAGAACGTAGGAAGAACAAGTGTTGCGTCAGCACTCGTCAAAGATCGAATCCAATCACAAGCTTCGTGCCCAAAAATGGCGACCGCCAATGTTGCTTGACGGAGTTTTCTTTTTTAAGTGTTTATTGATGCTTTTTGTTTATTCTTTCGTAATAGATTTCTGTCTGTTTCTTTGGAGCAAGTTGTTTTGGGGTTCTCCAAGCACACATGAAAAATCCAAAGCGTTTATTTTAGAATATTACCTGGAAATCCCAGGCGATCAGGACGCTGTTGAGAACGTCGTGAAAGGCGTTGATGTCGTTGCACTGGCGCGTCCCCGTTGTGTTGAAGAATATGTTCACGACTTGGGAAACCGCATCAACAATAGCCTCATCGTTCACGAAGCTCCGAGTGAGGAACTTGCAAGATTCCTGCGATAAAAACATCTCTTAATGCATACGAACGAGCAGGCTAAATGCCCGTTCACACACTTATAATGGAGTAGGACCGGCTATGACAAAACCGTTTTTAAGCCTCTTGCGACGGCTTAGTACCTTCTCCGCTGCAGCAAATCCGGTCCTACGCCGTCGCAAGAAGCTTAGAAGCCGGTCTTGTCTCGTTCGGCCCTACTCGGTTGCAAGTGTGTGAACGGGCCTTATGAGTATAGGGGAAGTGCCTTCCACTTTTTTTCCACTTGAGCAGAGCGAACGCTGGAGAGGAGGTCGCCTCCTCCCCAGCGTTCGCTTTGCTGAAGTAGAAAGAGGCGGGAGGAGCTTTCACTTTACTCTTAAAGCCCGTTCACACTCTTGCAACCGAGTGTGACCGACTGAGACAAGAGCGGTTTTTAAGCCATTTGCGACGGCTTAGGGCAGGATGGGCTGCTGCGGAGCAGGACGTAAGCCGTCGCAAAAGGCTTAAAAACTTGTCTCGTCTCAGCCGGTCCTACTCGGTTGCAAATGTGTGTACGGTCCTTTAACCTCTTACTGACTCTAGAGTCATTGACACCGCAAGCAACGCAGGGCACGTGGCTAGTCATGAGCATTTTATTATCAGACTTTAGTCATTCAGGTTGCAGCATTAGCCAATAAGAGCGCAGAAGAACGAAACAACGTGCAAGAAGTATGAGCGTAATAAAAAAAGCTCGGCGTTTGTTAAACTGTCAGCGACAAGATAGGAAGGTACTAATCCCGTTCTCAACTACACTTTCGAAAATATCCAGTACATCTATACACCAACATACCCTTTGTAAAAACAAGCCCGCGTTTGCGAAGAAGCCAGATTCGCATGAGGCGAAGGTTCCTGCGCATGCGTGGTGCCGACAGCATCGCTATCGCAATGCATTCACGTCATAGGGTTGAGTTGGTGTGGAAAGAAGATGCTCCAGATTCTGTAGTGTGTCTGAGGAACACCATATATTTCTTTGTATGATGGCGCTTACCTTAGTCGCAGTCCGTCGGACACAATAAAGAAATAATTGGAGTTTTAGTACAATTACGTAGTCTCCTACTTCTTAGGCACCACAAAACTAATTGAACAATTTTTTTTTTTGGTTGTGCGGGGACTGATTTTTCTTTTTTCATATTCAGCTGTTAACGTACTTTATAGTTACGCAATTTTATACGACAGCAATGACCAAACCAATACGATCGGAAAAGGTATATATTATATCGGGTGATTTTTTTTTTTTTTAATTCGAACAGATTTATTACAAAAAAAATCCGTCAAAGATAGACAAATACGGTTTGTGCAGCTGAGTTGTGCGGCCAGGGGGACATTATGTAGGTGACTAATCTTTGCGACAAGTCGGCTAATTAACTAAAATTCGTTAATTTAATTTGTGAAAATAGACAAATGGTTTCAATTTGAAACTTAGAGAGCGTCACCGAAAACAACAAAATCAACTCTTTTTAAAACCACTTAAAGATCGGGGAAGCTCGGCGGCGCGCCAAAGTGACCACTCGTGAAGCAGGCGCAAAGCTAGCAGTGGCGGAACGCGGATGATAAGATTATCATCCGCGTTCCGCCACTGCTAGCTTTGCGCCTGCTTCACGCTTTGTAACTTTGGCGCGCCCTCGAGTTTCCCACGAGCTTCAAGTTGTTCTAAAAACAGTTGATTTAGCAGTTTTCAATAACGCACTTTAAATTTCTAATTGGAGCCATATGTCTAGTTTCATTAATTAAAAAGTTAATTAACAAATTTCAATTAATTTGCCGACTTATTGCAAAGATTAGCACCAAATAATGTCCCCCTGGCCCTATAACTCACCTGCACAATTCGTCTTAGGGAATATTTTGCGGATTGTAAATAATAAATCTGCTAGAAAATTTAAAACAAAAATCACCCAATATATTAGGGGATCGCCTTATCACGTACTTTTACTGGGTAGCCCGGAAGAGGTGTAAGGAAGACCGACGGGTCCGCATAATTCACGAGCGCCATGTTGGAGTACACGTCGTGCAGGAAGTCTCTGAAAGTGACATAGTCCTCCTCCTGGAGACTTTGGCAAAGGTGGAACTTGTCTTGAATCGACTTTCGGCCTTCAACTGCAATGAAAAAAGGAGTGCGTGTTTGTCTCCTTTCACATTCCCCAAGAACTGCGCAGCCTGTTGTGTGACATTAGAGGAGTAGACTTTATAGGTTTATTTGCATGTGAATGTGCATTTGCATGAGCATGGCCGTATTCACTCGTGTGTGCGAGTGCATGTGTCAGGGGGGATGAGAAAGAAAGAGAGATAAAGATGAGGAGGGGATCTTCGCAAACATCTATTACTTCATCGATTGTAATTTCTTTTGCCTAAGAAGACTATCTCTTAAGTCCTGCCGTAGGTTGAATGTTAGTATACAACCTATTACTTCATTATCCCTTGAGGAACATGAGGACAAATTATACCTCACTAATACAAAAAAAGAACAGTAACAACGAGACTCTTTGCATTTGGCTTGTGAGAAATCATCGACACCTCCCCGACACAAACTTTAGGCTGCTAACATGCGCTGCTCTGTCATGGCACTGTTGTACAAGTACACCGTTCACAAAACCGGCAGAATCCTTCTCTGGCGCCGAGAAAAATTCTGGGAAATGGCTGTAACCAGTTGTGGCAGAGGACGGTAGGTTACAAAGGCAAGGCAGGCGAGCGGGAGAGGGTAGACCAGAGGCGAGTAACCGAGCTCAACACTTCCTTTCGCATCCTAGATGCCCAAGATGAATCTACTGCGCTATCCTCTCTTTCCTCTGCTCTTTGCAGTGTCACGTGGCAGGTGTTGTAGCAGCAAGAGACTACAGGACTTTCCCATAATTCGTGGCGCTCTTCGCTTGCGGCCTATCGGGATTTTTAAAAACTGTCGGTTGTCTCCCGGCAGTACGCTGCGCCACGAAGAACTTGGACCACCAATTGTTCAACTTTTTCCATAAAGATAAATCAATAAACCAATAAAGATGGCGACCGCTCTTCTGCTCTGATGATCATGCAGCCTCACTTCGAAAATGGGTGGACGCCTTGTTGTCACCCTGACTGAGTGTCCAGTCGTAAATAGTTTACAATTGCAAACTCACAGCTTGTTTGTAATATTTAAGGAATGTGTAATGCGTTAGGTCTTGTGTAAGGCCGCGTACCTGTTGAAAACTTGGCCTCAAGGATTGGCCAGGACTTTCGGATTGTTGCTGAACAAACAGGTGACTCTCTCCGAAACGTTTCGGTCAAGACACGGTTTAGTGACGAGCACGGCACGAGCCCCGGGAACATGTGAACTGGTGCGCTGCTTGCTAAGGAACTGAAATAAAAACGACGCCTTTAGGAAGAATATATAGCACTGAAATTTCAGTGGGGTGCCGAATGTTGGCAACCCTCAAGGAGTGGTCACACTGAAGACACATCGTACAAAAGTCAATCCGCAGTCAGTGTCTGAGACGTGTTCTTGTATGACCTTGACAAGTTTAATTCAATTCAGTTCGATTCAATTCACTGTTATTGACTTCAATTTGGAGTCAATAACTTTTGTTGCACAAATACTACCTGCAAACATACATCAACTATGTAGAAAGCAAACAACCTTCGAACATGCCTGAGGCATGTGCGCACATGTCATCCTGTGTGCAGCAAATACTGTCTCTTCGTATGATATATGAGCAGTGTGACGGCGAGAGTAAAACGTTTTAGTTTTGCTTGAGTCCTTTTATTGCTTTTACTCAGCATAGCATCACAATTACTTCTTACTATGGCGACGGCATAAATGATCAATCGAAGCAAGCTCAAGTTAACATTATATGTACGACAACCTAAGGAAAGTATACTTGCCAGACTTGAAAAGTAAACGGCGTATGTCATAAGTGAGTCTTATTCTTAGGCACACCCATACCTCGGCAAACCTCACTCATGAGCAGAGGTCGGCATTTTAGGTCGCCCTCACTCACCCTCACCCTCACAGCCACACTTACCTAAGCCCCTCACTCACCCTCACCCTCACAGCTACACTCACCTTCAGCCCCTCACTCACCCTCACCCTCACAGTCCCACTCACCTTCAGCCCTTCACTCACCCTCACTGAACCTCACGGCCCTCACGCACTCACCGCCTTCACGGTCCTCACGCCCCTCACGGCCCTCACGGCGCTCACCGCCCTCACGGCCCTCACGCCCCTCACTCACTCATGGCCCTCACGCCACTCACCGCCCTCACGGCAATCACCGCCCTCACGGCCCTCACCGCCCTCACGGCCCTCACCGCCCTCACGGCCCTCATCTCCCTCACCGCCCTCACAGCCCTCACGGCCCTCACGGCCCTTACCGCCCTCACCAGCCCGCGACCTCACCGAAACACCAGCAACACGGGCCGCCCGCGATCACACGCAGCAACGAATTGCTGCAATTTGCCATCGTCATCATAAAATTTTATTTTTCTTGCACTATTTAGACACAATTACGCGTTATAAACGTGTTTTTATGCATTTAAATCTCGTTAAGAATACTAATGCACCTTTCTGAAACAGTTTATTTCCAAAAAAAAAACGATCGATTTCAAACCAGAACCAAGTCTTTCGGTGTCATCATCACCGGCACGAGGTATCACGTGAAAATTTTGCGTCCCTGATTGGATGCAGCCGCTTCAAACGCATTCGAATTGCTCCGAGTTGCATATCCCTCACGGCCCTCACGGCCCTCACCACCCTCACGGCCCTCACGGCCCTCACCGCCCTCACGGCCCTCACGGCCCTCACCGCCCTCACGGCCCTCACCGCCCTCACAGCCCTCACGGCCCTCACCGCCCTCACGGCACTCACGGCCCTCACTCACCCTCACACTCATGAATTTTCCTGGTTCAAAAACTCACTCACCCTCACCTCACCTGTGAAGATGAGGGTGAGTGAGTTTCTGAACCAGGAAAATTCATGAGTGTGAGGGTGATTGAGGGCCGTGAGGGCTGTGAGGGCGGTGAGGGCGGTGAGGGCCGTGAGGGCGGTGAGGGCCGTGAGGGCCGTGAGGGCGGTGAGGGCCGTGAGGGCCATGAGGACCATGAGGGCGGTGAGGGTGGTAAGGGGTATGAGGGCCATGAGTGCGTGAGTGGCGTGAGGGCGGTGAGTGGCGTGACGGCCATGAGTGCGTGAGTGGTGTGAGGGCGGTCAGTGCGTGAGGGGTGTGAGGGCCATGAGTGCGTGAGGGCAGTGAGTGGCATGAGAGGCGTGAGGGCCGTGAGGGCGGTGAGTGCATGAGGTGGTGTGAGGGCCATGAGTGCGTGAGGGCGGTGAGTGCTTGAGGCCCCCTTCAGATCGAGCATCTTTCTCAGCAATTTCGATGTTAATGGCGGGTTGTTCTCTAGCTTTCTCTAGATCGACACGAATTGCTGAGATAGGGTCCGGCTCAAAATAAGCAAGCAACTCGAAGCAATTCGAATGCGTTTGAAGCGGCTGCATCCAATCAGGGACGCAAAAATTTTCACGTGATACCTCGTGCGGGTGATGATGACACCGAAAGACTTGGTTCTGATTTGAAATCGATCGTTTTTTTTTGGAAATAAACTGTTTCAGAAAGGTGCATTAGTATTCTTAACGAGATTTAAATGCATAAAAACACGTTTATAACGCGTAATTGTGTCTAAATAGTACAAGAAAAATAAAATTTTATGATGACGATGGCAAATTGCAGCATTTGGTTGCTGCGTGTGATCGCGGGTGGCCCGTGTTGCTGGTGTTGCGACGTACTGCCCCATCTGAAGCTGGCCTGAGTGGCGTGAGGGCCATCAGTGCGTGAGGGGCGTGAGGGGTGTGAGGGCCGCAAGGGCGGTGAGGCGCGTAAGGGCGGTGAGTGGCGTGAGGGCGGTGAGTGGCGTGAGGGCGGTGAGTGGCGTGAGGGCGGTGAGTGGCGTGAAGGCGGTGAGTGTCGTGAGGGCCGTGAGGGCGGTGAGGGCCGTGAGGGCGGTGAGTGGCGTGAGGGCGGTGAGTAGCGTGAGGGCCATGAGTGAGTGAGGGGCGAGAGGGCCGTGAGGGCGGTGAGGGGCGTGAGGGCCGTGAGGGCTGTGAGGGGCGTGAGGGCCGTGAGGGCCGTGAGGTTCAGTGAGGGTGAGTGAAGGGCTGAAGGTGAGTGTGACTGTGAGGGTGGGGGTGAGTGAGGGGCTGAAGGTGAGTGTAGCTGTGAGGGTGAGGGTTAGTGAGGGGCTTAGGTGAGTGTGGCTGTGACGGTGAGGGTGAGTGAGGGCGACCTAAAATGCCGACCTCTGGGCACACCTAGAGAACGCCTTATTCCCGGGGACCTAATCTACACGGCGGGACATCGCCGTTTGCTGCGATTGGTCAGCGTCTTGGCGCTGGCAAATCGCAGCTGACGGCAATGTCCCAGTCCTTTGGTTCAGCTTGGTCCCGCCGCGTGAATTAGGACCCCCGTTATCTGGTTATAAATAAGATCGGTGATGCTGAGACTTGATGATTCACATCCGCCCCACAGCTTCCATAAACGCTTGAAACTGTATCGAACGAAATTTATCGAAGAAAAACGTCACCTCACATCTTAACTTGACCCAACCAGAGGATTGTTTGGTACGCCACTACTTCAATGTAGTAAGCAATATATTACGATCGAATTTGTCAACCCGACAAAACAGTACGCCCGTAGTTTTTATATTTAGGCAACCCAGGCAGACCTGCTTGATTTGCAACTGTACATTAAAGTACTCAACGTCTACTTACGCAGAGACGAGGTGCGGGTATCTAAGCCTAATCCAGGCAGACAGCATGCCTCCGTAAGATCCTCCGAACGAAATGACCGGACTCTCAGATGCCCCTCGAACTGATTCTTTCAGGTGGATAATCAGATCCGCGTAATCTGCCAGCACTTGGTCAGTTGACAGATAACCTAAATGATGCGGGCTCTGAAACACCGGCAAGAAGTGTCAAGGTATATCTATCATTTATATAATAAATTTCTCTGCAGTATCATTTTTTCGAGGAGAGCTGTGAAACGCGCGCACCGGTAACACCGCCTCAAAGGAAAGCCGTAGACCTGAATTATATGCCTCACCTTTTAAGCGCCATGACGGGTCACATATTGAACACTAGTGCTATGTCAGCGCTCAGCTGAGACTCGTGTTCTGATTGATGTTATGCTTAATTTAACACGCGTTCCAGCCGAATTATGACATAGTATTTGTGTCCAATATGTGCCACATGCTGGCCCCGAGTACTTCATGTATAAAAGTTACCTCCACACATTTATATCTTAGTGGAGTGTGCTCTGGGCGTTGTAATAGCATCCATCGCCTAGCGGCTGCGTAAACCTCATTTGGGCAATAAGTCTATTAGGTGAGACTGAATTTACCTAATAGTGAATGCAGTTCAGTGAGGGCGACCCAATATAGTGCGTTTAATGAAAAGAATAGCCAAAGGAGCTAGAATAAACGTGGTTAAAGATGCGCACAGAAAGACAAGGACTGAACAGAGATAAACGTAGACAACAGAGAAGCGCACACTCACAACTTACATGTATTTGAAGGAAAAAGGGAAGAAAGCATTACAACCGGCGGGATCAGCTCGAGCGAATGCCACACTGGAACAGGGGAACAGTGAACTTGAGTAGCTCACTTTAACGTGAGCACACGACCTTGAGGAGGGCATTTGGATTCAGTCATGCCAAAACGATCTTAAAAAAAGCCGTTTTCTTCTCTTTTAAAGACGGCTGGGTGACACATCGCTTGCCCAAACTACGGACGTTAGAGTGTTCATAAAACGATTTTTCTACGTTCGCTAAATACTACTTAGAATCACTCCCTAACGATAACAACAAAATAAACTGGCATAGTTGTTTGGTTTATTTTTTCGTTAATGGCGGTGGGCAGAACAATTCAAAAAAATATGAGCATCATTCATCCCCTCATCTCGGAGCCAGAACAGGCGGCCATGTGGCCTGGTGCTCATAATACGCTGCCAATGTTGATCATACCCACGCGCTCAGCTCCAGGCATTGTTCGAGTTCGGTTACTCTCATCACCGCAGTAACTGGACACGAGTCAGTACCCGAGTGTCCGCCGAGGAATTGATTGTTATGAGCCGAAGTCGAGTGCTCATGCAGTTCTCGTGTCCAATACATGAGCCGCGCTTGATTTTGTCAAGCGGGTTGTTCCGTTCCCACAATTACGTCACCAAGCGTTGCGAAGGCAAGACTGAAAGATATTGTACTCTTTTATCCTCGCTCGCGATTTCACCGCGACAGAGAAGCTTCTGAGTCAGTGGTGGTCTGTGCTAATATACTTGGACCAGACTAGGACCGGTACGCCTCTGCGACGTCATGAACATTCCAACCCGATATCGTTTCATGACACCTTTAAGTGCTTCGAAGATTCCCCTGGTGTGTTGGTCATGATATTTGACTTTTTTTTTTAAGTATGGTTTACATGAGCAGGCTTGACAGTGCAGGGGTAGGTGACACTCATTGTGGAATTTACGGAGAGATTGTGTTGTCGTAGCCCATTATTAACGCACCGTGCCGTCTGCCCTGCGTAGCATCTCCCACATCTACCACATCAATTTTGCATGGCTGAGTCCGAGTGCCCCCCTCGAGCTCGTGTGCCCCTGTTTCTGTGCGGCTGTCGCTCGAGCTGATTTTGCCGGTGTCACTTCTTTCTTTCCTTCTTCCTTCAAGATGATTTAAAATGTACAGTGCAAACAGACGGGACAGAAGAGAGAAGACACACAATCGTTGATTGCGTCACTTCTCTTTTCTGTGCCGAATGTTTGGGCTGCACGTTTTAAATAATGATGTCTTACCAACGCTCCCAAGCTCCCATTTTGAACAGTTCCTTCATATAGATGTGAGTCGCGAGTGTTCGCTTGTCTTATGTTTGCTTGTTTATTTTCTCAGTCCTTGTCTTTTCGTGCGCATCTTTAACCATGTTTAATCAGCACCAACTCGCCCAACTGACCAGCCTATTAAAGTTAGAATAATTTGGCTATGGTGAGAAAGCGTTATGACCGCAAGTTTAGGTGGCAAGCGAGCTTTGCATCGCGTAGTTATCATGGTATCTGGATGTTAGTCCTTGGTGTAAACATTCAGAGCGTAGACAAACACTACTTGTGGAAGTTAACCTTTACCCGACTTCCACTAGTGAGGCTACCAGATTACTTCATCAACAAATAGACACAGTTATAGATATGTAGTGAAACGACAAGCTTCACCATAATAATGCGTTCTCTGCTACCCTTGCGCTGCCAAGGGTTGCTGCCGTAGTAGATAGAACCCTATATTTTGATCAGTACCGGAAAAACAGCAGAAGAATCCTGCCGTAACAAAGATGAAAGTGCAAAGAGTGTTGGCAGACGCTCGAACAATGTTGCCCATGGTCTACTGAGTAGACCATGGGCAACATTGTTCGAGCGTCTGCCAACGCCAGGCATTTCAAAACAGTTCGCGACAAAGCAGAACGATATCACTTGAGCTGAATGCTACCACCGCATCTAAAGCTGAGGGAACTCGCATTTTTTAGTTGTGGCGACCATCTCGGTCGCCGCCATCGATACTCTAAGCGTAGCTCATTCAGTGGCTCTATTCGGAACTACTTTTTCGCGCCCTGGCCTTTGCCAGCGCCGAAGCCAACTGATGAGACGGAGCGTGTTCTTCGGCGCCTCAACAGATGGCGCCGTGCGTTTTGAATATGGTTGATTGAAATAGCTGAGCCGGAGAGAATGGGTGCGCTACCTTTGACCTCTCCCCACCGTTTGACAATTAATGTCTAAACTGCGGCGCAAGCAACCTCTGCGAAAGCTATTTTGAATTGCGACAGATGTTCGCTCAAACATTAGTCGCCAACTGAAGGCGACACCTGTCTGGGCTAGCCTTGTCATCAACGCCGTAGCAAAATAACGCATCCTAGCAATAAGTCATTCGAAGTGCATTCGGTAATTTGCTTCATCCGGTTTGGATTGTTTGATGCTTCAAAATTATTTTTTTCCGATTTTTCAATTTTTTTTTTACCTCCAATGAACGATTTCCAAATGGCATGGACTCTCCGTAGAATCGGTGTTCGGCAAAAACGAGCATAGCCTTGAATTCGGGGGCCCACTCCCACATTAGGCCCTGAAACAAAAACATGGAAGGAAAAATGTTAGTGTTAGCGGCAAGGGTAAAACGTAAAACGTCAGTTTTGTATACCACGTGTCGCTCCAAGCCCGGCCGCAGCCCGCGCTACGACACGACGTAGTCAATCGGGTAGCTCCAAAAGAGCCTCGTCGACCACTGCGCTCGTCGTCTTTGTGCGTTTGCTAAGCTTGAACTAAACAAAATTACGCGGAGTGAATGTCCCGTAATCTTCCGTTTCCTTTTTTTTTTTTTTTTTTGTTTCTGCGCGGGATTAGTTAAATTAGTGGTGACAGCAAACACACAAAGAAGACGAACAGCGTGACAATGCATTTTTGGCGCTTTAATTGTGCATCATCATATCGAAGCATCAGCTGCGGTCCACATTTCACTGCACTCTTAAAACATGTTAAAATACAAAAAAAAAAAATAAACACGTTTACAATTCTCTGCAATGCCGAACTAGAGCTCAGCTCTCGAGGAGGAAAAGGAGAGGGTATGTAGGGGAGGGTATGCCCCTCCTCTCCTACCCTCTTCCTCCTCTGCTCCCCTCCCATTTAGCGGGAAATTTTCTCTAAAGTTTCTGCTAAATTTTGCGGCGAAATTTGTCCGCTAAATCTAGCGGTGAAAATTTTTTGCTAAATTTAGCGAAGAATTTCTTTCCGCTAAACATAGCGGAGAAATTCTTCCGCTAAACTTAGCGGGGAAATATTTCCGCTAAATCCAGCAGGAAAATTTTTTACCGCCAAATGTAGCGCGGAAGATTTCAGATAAATTTAGCATGATACTTTTCCGCTAAATTTAGCAGGGAAATATTTCCGCTAAATGTAGCGGGGAAATGTTTTCCCTAAATTTATTGTCAAAATTTTGTGGGAAACTTTTTCCAATAAATTAAGCGAAAAAACTTTCTCGCCAAATTTAGCGGGGAGATATTCCCGCAAAATTTAGGCGCCGTGTGACGTCACGAGAATGACGTCACACGTGACGTTTCTCACGACCCTCGTGACGTCACACGTGACGTCACGTGTGACGTCATTATGGCAACGTTCCATAATGCAACGCGCGGTTACACCGACGCCGACGTCGACGCCGCTCAAGCCGGAAATGGGCACCTAAGAGCTGGGCTCTAAAAAAAGCAGCTGCATTCGTACGTAGAAAACTGACCTAACGGTCAAACCGCTAGGTGCTAAGTAGAGTATAGCATCAGTATACAGCGCAGAAAAATTTAATTGTTTTTTACAGTCGTTGTACTGCCGTCGGGAAACGAAACCCGCACACACGGGGGCGTGATCCTGAGAAATGGCTAGATGCATGGATGTAAACGGGAGCGGCGGCTTGAGCCACCCAGTTGGCATTAGAGCTCCTATTTTAGCTAGATTATATATGGCCCGTCTCAACCAGGATGTGTAGAGTGGACTTAAGGGCCGTCGACCTACGCTATGAAGGTAACCAGTAAATGACATGCAGAACGTTTGTCTAGCCCGGTCTCAAATTCCCCAGGACGGTGTTGCTAAAACAAGCTTATAATCATAAGAAACCAAAAAAAAACTTTTCCAAAACAAAACAACTTCTTTGTGAACTTTCTTTTTATGTTTCACGGCACAGAGCTTGACAGTACTAAGTTAAACAGCCGAGTCCATCCTAAACATTTAGAAGCACACCTTATAATACTCATACACTAATTACGTGACAATGACAGGTGAGACCTCCTTGGAGGATGAGCGAAAACATACGTACAGTGTGGTTGATAAAATTTTCAATTGCATTTTCATTTCCCGTGTAGAAAAAAATGGGTCCGCCGTCGAAGTCCCAGTACTGATCTGCGACTGCGTACCTCATGACGAAAGTATCGCTGCTGTGGAACGTGAAATGATCAATCTGGAGAGAAAAATACACATAAATGCATGACGTTTGTCATCATTGCAAACACGTTTGTCATCATCGAAAACCGCAATTTGGAGCCCCAATCAGAAATACCAAACCACGCACATTGAAAAAGTCCAGAATCCAGCAGCGCGTTTTATAACATCCTCCTATTGCTATAACATGAGTGACTCTCTCCTAAAACATCAATGTTCTCTACCATTGCTCGAAGTAGATCGAACCATGTCTACTCTGTGCCTAATTCACAAGTTCTATTGTAGCAATTGTTTTTCAAGCGTTACTTTCCTTACACCCCTAATAGGTCATCTCATCCTGCCACTAACAGTAAAAGTTTTCTACGCCTCCCGGGTCAACCAACGCGTTCATTAACTCAGTCGTACCACGTGGCATCCGCGTATGGAACGACCTTCCCGAATTCATAGTCACCATTAGTGATGCTGCACTGTTTCGCGAACCACCTTGAATCATATTTTCATACCTCTGCGTTTCCTGTTATTTCGATCTGTTCGTGTATAATATGGTACCCTTCTCTATCAGTCCCACGTGTTTATTGTTCGTACTTATCTTGTGCCTATGCGACGATTTCGTGCAAAACTGTATGCGCATTTGTTTCTATTTTTTCTTAATTTATGTATTTGAAACTTCCCTTGCACTGAAAAAGAGCCTGCAAGGTATCGTGAACAAATAAATAAACAAACTGAGTGTGCTAGCCACTGAAGTCGGGAGCACATGAATCGAAAGTCTACGTTAAACAACCTATAGAGACGTTCGGTACAATCCCGCTCCCGCCCGTTTCGACGTGGATTTACAGTGGCCCAATTTCTTAATAATAACAAGCAAGCATCGACGCCGTGCCAGCGCCAGCGCTGTGCCGCGGCAAAATGCGGCGTCACCGCGTCACGGGAGAGATTAAGCGCGTGCGCACAAAGCCCTTGCTGGTGGGAGCGTCGTCTGCTAGGTTATTCCGTTGACCGCACACAGCCCCTGCTCCGCAGCAAAGGAGGGCAGGGCGCTTGCGATGTCGAAGTGCATTGCCGATACGCCCTTCCTCTTGAAATGCGTTCAAAATCATATTGACGTGAGTCTGTGTAACTCCGACTATTGTTTCTATATCCCTTTGCGTCGTGCCGCCCATCGACATTCTCGCAACACGTTCCCGTGTTTTTATGGGCCCTCGAGGAGGCATAAAAATGTGCGCGCGCCCGCTGGCCAAAAGAAAGTGTGACTACCTGGCTACATAGGCTAGATGACGACAGCAATAACGCAGTTAATAACACAAAAACTCGCCCAGTTATCCTGTTTACAAAAACCAAGCCCAAGCGGAAACCCTGTCTATACACCGCTTCACTTCGTGTGGTACCGCAGCCGACGCTACGAGTTATCTTGGCCAGTTCATGGCTAAAAGTGTGTCACGTGGCAGGGTGAAAGCGCTGCATTGGTTTTGATGGCTCGTAGCATTTTCTGCGGTATATTGTTTAATGCATCGTTGCATTCAGTTTGTCGCGTCACCGTATTTTTCATTTTTGTTGGTGTTCACAAAAATAAACGCAAACATGAAATGAAAAAAGAAAAGTAAATTGAACTCGAGATGACGCGCGGTTTATGCCACGCCTGAGCAGTATCACGCAAGCAAGCGCTGTTCAGATATTTGCTTAAAGGCGGTTAGCTATGCCAGCAAATAATGAACAGGGGCTGTGTGCTGTCAACGGAATAGCCTAGCACGCGACTCTCGCAACAGAAAAAGCTTCGTGCGCACGCGCTTGAACGGGTACTCCGCCGATTTCTTCATGGACCCCGATTTGCTTGAAATTTTGCTAAACTCGCCAAACAACATCGCCAAAATAGTATCCCAAATATTAGGTCAAAATAACTTTTTTTTCACGAAGTTATTGAATTTACAATTTTGGTCCTTATCGTGTTTTTCAAACTGAAAGTCTCTACTGGCAACAATGAAAAAGTGACGTCAGTGGAAGTGCAGGGGTTCACTCTTTGGACTGTAGAACTTGTTCCCAACTGATTCGAAGCAGTTTCATTGTGTCAAATGAATGCTTTGGAAGCTCGCTCCAGTCCCCGCGCTACAGCACGGAACAAATGATTGGCATATTCTATTTTTTAGACTGCTCGCCCAACTGGCAAGCTTACCTTCCACTGACGTCACGGCCCTGAAAAGGGCGGGTATATTTGAATGTTTGTTTTTGCATCATTTTCATTTGCCGATTTCACAATAACTATTATGAATTTCACGATACTAAATAGCATACCAGAAAGGGTAAAGGCCGGGGAGTCAGAAAATATAGTTAGTTGAACTAGCTCTAAAATCGGCGGAGTACCCCTTTAATCTCTCCTGTGACGCCGCATTTTTCCGTTGCATAGCGCTGGCCGTCCCGACGGTCGACGCTTGCTTGGTATTATAAAAAATTGGGCCACTGTATATCGCACCGAAATACAGTCGTGTAGCAGTTACTGCGTGGTGCATGCTTTGTTTATGTTACCAGTTGTACCGAAGTATACAAATTGACTTTCAACAGCAGAAACACCAGGCACTGCTCCAACGCAGAATAACATCTTCCTGTCTGAACCTTCGCAACACAAAGTTTACTTTACAAGTCTTGAAATTAATGCATATCACCTAAAATACACATTTACTACAGTCATAGGTACACTGCGCCGCCGAAGCAGTCTCGATTGAACAACAACAACAACTTAACGGCAAAGGTAATCCAACTGTAACGTAAACAATGCTCCATACTTTCTTCCTTCGTTCTTAGGTATGCAAATCGTTGTTTTATGAGTTTTTTTTTTTTTTCAGAATATTTCAAAAAACGCTGTGTCTCCAACGCAAAGTGCTCAAAACGTTTAACTCAGACAAGAGAAATATCTGCTGCCAAAATGTGTAGGCAAACAGACAGAAATTACTAACAAGTGCGAAATAAGTTTAGTGTTCACACTGACAACAAAAATAATCGAAGTAATTATCGAAGCGACTATTTTCTAAAATCAATTGACCAATCGGAGTTTCGTTTCGAGATTGTGCCTCCGAGCGGAAGATGAAATGGTATCCGCCTAAGTGGTGCGTAGCGTGACCAGCGTGGCGTGGCTCTTCGTTCAATCGCGCACATCGTCTGATTGCGAACTTTCGCTTGACGGACACCCGCATGGTGACCGTGGCGAAAGGCCGACGGTAAGCAGAACAATATGGCCGCAGTCCTACGCAGTACGCCAGTTTGTCTGCTTCTTATGCAGGGCTTAGGTGACGTCAGAACGACGTTAAACTCTGATAGGCTCTGATTGAAGGATAGTGGGTAGACCTCAAAGCAAGCCGGCTTGAAGTCTACCCCCTTTTCTTCAATCAAAGCCAATCAGAGCTCCGCGTCGTTCTGACATCACCACAACCCCTGCAAACCAAGCAGACAAACTGGCGCTCCACATACCCTCCGTTTAACCGACTGTATATTCAAGTTCCCTCAATTTCCCATTGATACTTGTGCGTTGGATGATGCAACATCTGCTTCCGTGTTGCTCTCGGTAGTCACTGACAGAGTGAGAATGACAGGGCGTCTCCTTCTGATACCAGACCTCCAGCCTTCTTTCTTCATCCAGACCTCCAGCATGCGCTCGTTCTGCGTGTGCACTCCGCACTCACGAGACACCGCAATCAAAGCTAGGAAGCTCGCACTGGAGGCGGAACAGATGAAAGATCTGCCTGCCGTTCTCATTTCGTCAGTATACACCAACGGTAAGTTAGCTCAGTTGTGGAACTCTCGCGGAGAGCGGGGGGGGGGGGGGGGGGGGGGGAGGGTTCCACAACTGACAAAAGGCAGACCTTCAGTCCACCTCCAGTCGTTGAAGCGCCATCTAGGTTTTGGTTTAAAACTGAAGTCGTTGAAGCGCCATCTAAATCCTGTGTTTCAAAACATGTATTCCTCCATAGAATACACCGCAGTTACCATAGTAGCAGTCGTCAAAATAGTGGCGCGTCGAACGACGGGAGGCGGGCCGTGGGGGAAGAGGGGGGGTACTGCTTGTGGAAGCAGCGTCTGTGGGAAGTTCCGTTACTGAGTTAATCCACACTCCGATGCATACTTAAAGGTGGCTTATGGAGGTTTTTCGAGATCACTTATATACGGCAATAATTCACTCTGTGGGCTTTGGGCATCAAAGAAATCTCTAAATCATGACGAAACGCGGCCGATTTACCTATTAAAAAAACAATAAAAGATCACAACACTCCAAGGTCTTACAAGATCGAAATCACCCGTCTGACGACAGCCGAGCGCAGCTCATGGATTGGGCACGAGAACTGCGCGAGCACTTGACTTCGACTTGTAACAATCAACGCATCGGCGGACACTCGGGTAGTGGCTCGTGTCCAGCCACTGCGGTGGTGAGAACAGCCGAACTCTAAAACCGATGTTAGACGGACCGCTTAAGCTTCTTCAGCAGAAAAAGCAATCACCTTAAAGGAGAGGGAGTTCGCGCCACACGGCATTGCAAACGCTCTTTCCCCTAAACTGCCATTTTTGGGAAAAGAGCTCTCTAGCGTCCTTTAGTGCAAAGGAAGCACTCTTGACAGCACACTCAAACGCCATTAGAGGAGAGCTGGCGCGTCATTTTTTCTCCCTGAAGTTCGAACTTTGAAGGACTGACCTCTATACTTGGGTTTTTCAAACGTTGGCTGAGGGCATTGTGCTAATGAAAGGTTTTCGTCGCCTACTGGAATCTTAACAGAAACGATCAGTGTCTCGCTCCTCACGCGTCGAAAGCTTAGATTCGCCAACTCACCTGCGCGCTCACTCTTGTTTAAGTACTGCTGGTATAATTCATTAAATTGGTGTGTAAATAATGCACAAATTTTAACTATGGAAAGATACATTTTTTCAACTATTTCTAGACTTCGGTAAAAACGCAATAATCTCGTACACCGTTAATTCAATATTCTCGTGGTTGTCAATGTCTATCTCGAACTCGAAAGCTCATAACGAATATTTTCTTTTTAGTAACTAAATTATTACAGTTAAAAATATATTATTAAAATAATTATTAACTTTCATATTGTAAGGTATTATAAAATGTAAAATAATAACTTTAGTTCTCCGTTTGGCCAGCCCCAAAACAATCAATGTTGACGGTAAATAGCTATTTGCCGGTCGTGCGAGAGCAGCTCCTTTAGCAGAATATCCATTAGCGAAAATGATATTTATTAAAAAGGAGCTGTAGGGCGCCGTTTGACAGGAGTATACAATGCCTCGAGCCCAGCACGAGTTTTCTACTTTGCCAACCCCAGCGCGTGGCTGTGGTTAAATTTGAGGGCATGGCGCATTCACCAGGCAGCACGGCCGCTTATTCTGGCTGGTGCTCATATTTCGATGCTCATAATTCTCGATATTTTTCGGCGATTGCCATTGCAAGAAAGAAAAAGTAGGGCAAGTTTATTCAGTTATTAACGTTCGGGAGGGATTCTGAGTAGTACTTAACGACAGTGAAAAATCTGTTTCATGGCTCATTTAAGCGCGCGATGACAGCACCGTTCACAGCGTTTTGACGTTGTGAAAAGCGCCATTGTCCCACCGCGTCGACAGCAGTGCTAACCCAGCTGAGTGACATCAGGGTCGCCTGTTTGTGCGATTCCAGAAAAGTGCTTCTGGCCGGTGCCATTTTCATCATCCGCATTATGTATGTGACATTCTTTGCTCGCTCTCCCAAGCAACGAACATGCACGTGGTGGACAGTGGAGATCGAATGCTGAGCTGTGGATCTGTAAAGAGTGGATTGTTGTAGGAATGGTGCGAACCGTGAACAATGTATTTTCGTTTGTTTTAGGATACGCTATTGACGAGAATATTGTACTATAGGGGCCTCTTCGTCCGACTTGTTTTCGACACAGCTCGGTGTTCACCCGATGCAAGGAATCGACTGTGAGCTAGAGTCTTTATGCCATCTACCTCGTTAGAGCGTGGGGCATAGGTATGACGCGACGGCTTCGTCAACGTTCGGTTGTGACTCGCGTTTGGTCGGGCAGTCAATGATTCAACACTAGGCCCCATCAACCACTGACGCAGCGTTCGGCTATGTCAGCTGATCGCTGCATTAGAAAGAAACAAACTTCACTTTTATGTTCATTGCTCACACAGCTGAAGTCAGCAGCTAGAGGCGTGACTGTCCTATATACAACTTCAATCGTATCTTACCTCGAGAAGACGTATTGAAACACGTGCTGCCACAAGTAAAGGACTTCTACGAGCGCAATGTTCTTCGTCTGGAAACACTGGCATACCCACGCTAAAGCAGCGGACACTGGAGCAACGAAAAGGGGCGCCTCGCGGCAGAGCGCAGCAGTTTCCATAGCAACCGTTGCTGGCGTCCCTACGTCATTTCCTCGCGACGCCTCGTCGCTCGGATCTGATCGGTACAGAAAATGGCGCGCGGTACGACTGTGCTATGCCGAGCGGCGAGCGGCAGGCGCCGCTCGTCGCCCAGTTCGTTTGCTCACTCCTGCTTAAAGGGGCACTGAATTGTTTTTTTGTAGACGCTTGTTTTTTTTACGGCATATTGTTTGTTGGACGTTAGTGCATAAAAACGACCTGTTCAAGACGGCAAGACGTCTTAGTAAACTAACAGCAATAGAACACGGCCACTGTCTTTCTTGGGGGAGGGGGGCCATCCAAGGGTCCCCACTACCTCCAAAACATTCGACCAATTAATATGGTTCATTGCCTGCATGTTTCAGTGGTTACTGTTATTTTTTTTTTGCGTGTTGTGCCTTATATATTGACAATAAAGTCAAATATTTGGCAGTAGGACACGTGATCGAGCAGTTAGTGTCTGAAACCGCCGTCTGACGGCGCCCCTAGTGTCTGCTGCAAGGCGCAGAAAGAAAGAAGTGACACTATTCTTTATTAGATTTTAATAGGAAAATCGACTGTCCCTGAGTGTAATTTCGAATTTTGAGGGGTTTTTAGAGACCTTAAATTGAGTTATCATCATAGGTAGGCCCCTTAATACAAGTCGTTCATTTAATTAAGTTAAAGATGAATGAGTAAACTTATCTCTAAGTACTAAGCGATAATTACCTATTCCAATTTTCCTAAGTAGTTCAAATTGCCTGTTGTTCGTGTTTTTTTTTCTCTCTCTCTTATTCTTCAGCGGTGCATAATAAAACATAGCATGGCATGCTTAGCTTCGCATCTCACTACATGCTTGCGTTTATACGAACGAATTAGGTCGTCAGCATGCTATTGCACAGGAAGGTTCCCAGATTCTGAGAATACATTTTAGCGATCGAAGACAATGACAAACGTAAGAAAACTGGACACCAATGTACGCTAAGCATAGTGCATGGTGATCAGTGGTGTCCAATTCTTCTCCAATCGTCTTTTTCTTCGAGCGCTACCATGTATTCGAAAATTCGCACCAACTCGCCCTAGAATCAGCACTGTTCACTTGCCAGAAAAATTACCCAACTTTAGAGTTACTCAGAGTTATTGTGAAAAGCTTACTAAATCAGACATTTCTTGTCCTAATAACAGTTACTCTTCTTGATCACCTGTGAGCTTTCTTTGGTTCACAGTACGTTTTCCCTCGTACATGGCTACGCTCAAACCCAGCCAATTCGTGAAGCATCAGTCCTCTCATCCAAGCAATCGCAATAAACATTTTAACAAAAAGATACGACTCACCTTTGTTCTGAACGTTCGCATTTTGTAGGTCACCTGAGGAACGGCACATTCTCCGAAGAAAAAATGTGAAAGGCAGAACAAAAAGATGTTGCAGAAAACAGATGCCATCTTGTTCACGCTTCAAGACGGTGCCCGTGTGTCACTGATGCCGGGTCCACTGAGAAGAAGCCACACTTTGCGTCTTTCCGCAAGCCCCCCGTATCTGCGTGCATCGGCCATAGGTCAAAAATGTTTTCGGATACGCGAGCCCTGAAGGCACGCAATGATCTGTATGACGCTGATCCCCCCAGGATAACAGACAAGGCAACCGACCTCTGGGAGTTTCCCGAGATCAGTTTTTGTGACTGAGGCATCCCGATAAGGATAACAGAAGAACTCGGGAACCGGACGTGCTCATGCACGCACAAAACAAAGAAGTACAAAATTTGCAAATAAACTAATCACTTTAATGTCTCAGTGAGCTATTTATTTGTTAAATAACTCATTCGCGCATTCGTTCAAATGTTCTTCCATAGCTAAACCACACACACAAAAAAAACAAAAAAACTTTTGGTACTGTTTTGCGAAGAAATCAGTTTACTCCAGTATTAGTTTTGAAAGTACGTTAACTAAGAGTTTGTGGTTTATCTCTACGAGACGATTCGCTTATTCAAATACTGCAAAACTAACAGAACCGATGCCAAAATAACTCGTTTCATTATTTTTATTTTCAGTGGCAGTATTTCCCACAACAGTCTGACTTTTATTTTGCACGTGTTATCTCCATGGATAGCGGTCATTATTCCAAAACTCGAACCCTAAATTTGACTTTTTTTTTTTAAGATAAATCAAAACGCAATAGTTTCGAACGTACGGGCAGTCAGAACAATTCTGTATTCTGACTTTAACACCACCATAACGAAGTAGATAAATGTTGCCAGGTTAGACGAAACACCCGGCATGTGACGAGGATCTGACAAACAAAGCCTATTACGGTATTATACTTTATTTTAACTTTCAGCTCAGCCGATGCTAAAGGCCAACGGGACCAATCAAACACCGCCTAAGGCACAGCCGTCACGGCGTTCATCGCCTAAATCAAATAAACGCTTTGAATCCGCTATGACTTCACACTTTGTCGTTCCAGTTTCTATCGCTTCTAGCCTTTGGCTGCGTTAGGTCGTAAGGTGAAACGCATCTCTTCCGAGGGGTGCCGCGCAGATGTTGCAGGCAACAGGCAAATACACTCTACAGTAGGCATACCATCCGCTTTAGCAGTGGGAGTGATGCCGTGAATATGTGAATACTTATTCGTAGCGAAACCGATTGTCAGTGAAAGGATACGCTCATACTTCGATAATCCTTTCTTGGAACCCACAAAACAAAAATGCATATCGTTTTGTTCTAGGTGTAGCTTATCTGAGTGGATCTGCTCATACCTTTCGATGGCATAACTGAGAACATTTTCCCACTACTTCGCGCCATTTCGTTTTTTTTTTTTTTTTTTTTAATGTTTTTCAGGAGCAGTGGCGAGCTGGATATCTCTAGTGTACTAGCATATCAAGCGCCCATAACCGAATTTATAATTTCTACTTTGGGCATCTTGTCCACTTGCCCAGTGGGAGTGATGTTGTGATTATGCAAAGACCTTTTGTAGCGGAACCGACTGTCAGTGAAATGATACGCTCAAATTTCGAGAGCCCCCTCGAAACCCATAAAAAATGGCATTCGTTTTGTTCCAGTTTCTGACTAGACCTGCTCACACCTTTCTATGGCACGCTTAAAATAATCTAGAAGCTACACTGTAACTGAGAACGTCTTCCCACCACTTCGCGGCGTTTCGTGTTTTTTTTTTTCTTTTTTTTTCTTTTTTTTTTTAGCAGCAGTGGCGAGTTGGATATTTGTAATGCTCTAAAATATCGCGCTCCCATGACCGAATTTATAATTTTGTCCAAACGCTCACCAAGCAGAACTTCACGCGCAAAGGCCAATGGGAGGAAAACTAATGTCGAAAAATACAGGGTGATTCAAGGAGAGGCCAGGCTCTTTAAATCGACCGAAACATTCGGTTTCTTAACCAATCGCGCTACTGCTTTGTGCAGCGTTGCGCACAGATGGTGCTTTTCTTTTTTTGTAAATTTTGCAAAGAGCGAATTTACCTGAGGAAAACGTAAAGAAAGAAAAAGGCTTAGCTCCTATGGGAACGCAGCGAAGCCACCGGTTTTCGAACAACACGGCGCCATTTCGCACGGGAGACAAGAGAGGGCGCAACGAACGCCGCCAACGAACGAGCATACGACGCCGAGTGCCGCCCCCCCTCCCCCGTCTTTAGCAGACCATCTTTTTGAGTCAAAAGCGGCGCGCGTTCCGCAGGCGGCGATAGTCGCAGAAACAAAAACAGGCGCGGTAAGAACAAGGAACTGCAGTTTCTTGTCTGCTAAAGACGCCGGCTTTTGGCGTCGTATGCTCGTTCGTTGGTGGCAGTTGGCGACGCAAACGCTTGCGCCATCTCTTATCTCCCGTGCGAAACGGTGCCGTGTTGTTTGAAGACCGGTGGCGTCAATGCGTTTCCATAGGAGCTAAGCCTTTTTCTTTCTTTACTTTTTCCTCAGGTAAGTTCGCTCTTTGCAAATTTTACAAAAAAAAATCCACCATCTGTGGGCAACGCTGCACAAAGTCGTAGCCCGATAGGTTAAGAAACCGAATTTTGCGGCCGATTTAAAAAGCCTGGCCTCTCCTTGAATCACCCTGTAGATCGACATTGTGCAGGATCATCGTGGCTACATGTCTAGTCGGTTGACGCCGAAGAACAGGCGTGAAACCAAACATGTTAAACAATGACGGCGCTTTGTCAACTTGCATAAAAATGCACGAAGCCGCCGAACGTGCTCCTACAACGACTCCTAATACTTATACCATGATATTTCATTGAAGGTGACGGCAACCCATGAAAGAGCTTCGTGATGTATTGACAAGCCGCGACAGAACCAAACAGCATCGCCAGAGTCTCTTTTTCTGACTTGAGAACGGCATTCGTCGTCAAGGAGGCAGCTCGTGAAGATCTCGCCACAAAATGGCGGCGCCGACGAGCCACTGGCGTGTCGACGGACGTCACGTGTGGCGTGCGCAAACCAATTACCACCATGTCGGTGTTAGAGATTCGGGTAAAAGGTTGACCGGTATCCTGAACGAAGCTCTCGAATGAGTGAAGCGACTGTTTTCCGGGAGAATTTAGACGAGTCATTGACATGTTAAATTTATATTTCGCTTAGCACTGGCCACCGTCGTAGACACGTGACCTTGATAGTTGACGCATAAGCCACATAAAGCCCATTTTCGCGTGGCACCGGTTTGCACAATCGAAGAGCGCGGCGTGCAGAGAACAATGCCTCGCCTTTATCTGCTGCTGGTGTTTTCCGTGGCCAGTGTCTTCGGTGACCCATTGCCCCAGCCCTTTTGGCCCGTCGAGTACTACGTCAGCGAAACTCCTGTAAGTTAACTCCGTTTAGTTACTTTCCGCACGGCATATAATTAATATATTATTCGCCTACAAATTTTCGTTACCTGATATTACCATTTTCAAGATATCTAACTCAAAGGGGAACACTCGGAGCACCGAAGTCCGTTGACATGCTCGACTAGAGTAAGAGGATGATGCTACACGGATCTGTTGCCTCTTTTAAAAAAGAGCGTCTTTACGAAACATCGGCTATGCATGCGCCGAGTCGTAGCTTCATATTGAGTAATTGCATTAATTTAGTTTAGTGTGATTTATCGTCATCGTGCGTGTCGATACATAGCCCTATGACTGCCCTATTTTACAAGCCGTGTTAAGACCGATGTGTCGGTGGATATTTTTAAGATGTTTCAGCAAACTAGACAGTGCCTTAAACGCTGTTTTGTTGATGTGGTTGTCTTTTTAAAGGATGTTTGATTCTGGGTGTTTGAATAGAAGTTTCCGGTCGAATAACCCAGCGTCTCCCCCTCGCTTCGAAACTGCAAATTAAACCGGAATGTCGTGGGTCTCCCCTGGAACCGTTAGGGCTATGAACGACGCAGCGCTATTCGATATGAACCACCATTCGCACGCCCCCAGCTTTACTGTAAATAGGCACGATGTCTCTTTCAGCGCCAAAAATGTTGACGAGTAAGAGTCGGCTAAATCACCGCGTCACTAAAGTCCGAGCTGCACTAACACTACGAACCAACGGTGCCAATTAATTGAGCTTCTCGGAAAGAGCTAGATGACGGCATTTTCCCTGTTTACTATGCGTGTTACCGCCATCTGATCTACCCCAGTATAAAAAATGCGTCGTGACCATCTGGTTTAGCAAGTACTATCGTGGACACTGTTGGTTGTAACACGTTATGGATGGATGGATGAATCCGGCTGAGCCCTTTGGATCGGGCGGTAGCTTACGCCACCTAGTCATTTTGTTTTACCATTTAAGCTTAGAATATTTAAATATGAAAACTATATTCACTCCGCACTGAAAAGAAAGTGAGGCTATGAAAACCCCTTGCCATCAGTTAATGAGACAATACCTAGTTTTCTCTCACTTTCTGCCACCATTCACTTAATCTTTGCTTGGTAATCTCTACTGTATTGAAATCCACTCTTCCTTCGCTGTCTCTAAAGCCCAATGACTTTATTAAATCTGTTGTCTTCGGTAGGCATAGGGTGAAGCCCTTTACAGTAGAGTATCAAGTGCTCAGCCATCTCGTCCTCTCCACAAGGAGTGCACACTGTATCCATTTCATGGTACTTCGCTCTTTATGTTCCAATTCGCAGACCACCTGTCCCCGCCTCAAACAGCGCCGCATACCACGTGCTGTCCAAACCTCCGCGCATGCGCCGTGTGGCGGACTGGCTCTTCCCACTTTCGAGCACATCCTCGTTTTGTCTTCTGCTAGGCGTAGAGCAGACGACGCCACAGCGTCGTCTGCCAATGTTTGTTGAACACGGTATCGTGGGCGCCTATTTAGAGACATATCGACTATCAGCCTTCTCTGCTCGTCTGATATTCTCGCCATAGCGAACTGGTGTCGAAGTCATACTAGGCGGGCAATGTTTATTGGAGCGGATTGCAGAGTCATTGTGGCATAAACCCTGTCTACGTATCTTGTTG